TCTTTCTCAGAATTGCGCTTGGGGTGATTTCTACTTCAGATGCGAGCTTATTCTAGGCAGAGCTGGAGTGGACCAGCAACATCAGCATCTCCAGGGGTCTTGTTAGAAATGCAGATTTGGGGATCCCTACCACAGAACTGTTAAATCAATTTCCAGGGGGTGGTGTTGAAGAGTGTGTACTTCAACAGGTCAATTGGAAGCATTGCTGTAGTCTAGAGGCTCTTCAGTGTCCTCCTTAGGGTTCTCTGCTGCTGGGATTAACCCGCCATTCACTAAACATGTCCTGAATTCTTGTTATGTGGGCACAACACAAGGTGAACTCTAGTGTGGATCCTGTCTCTCCAGGAGCATGCAGTCTAGATGAGGAAGACAGGGTTGTTTGCAAATAACTGATATAAAGAAAGAGTGTGAAAGGCCCATAGGGGAGGCACAGAGAATGCCTGTGGTCCTGTGGAGCATAGGTGCATTTCTATGGGTGGGTGCAGGGGCAAGCTGTGTGCAAAGATGGGACCATTACACTGGTGCAGAACTCCTGAGTAATTTTAATCTGTGGTCTGCTCCTTCTTTGCAAGCCTGATGGGTGGCCTGACTTTGGCCAGCAAAAGGCCATAGCAGTGTCTGGCCAGTGGCCTCTCTGAACCTGTTCAGCATCCCCCATCACTTGACTGTGTCTGCTTTATCAACTTGATCAATGCTTTCAAAATTGCCAGGGTTATGAAGATGGCTCCTGGAAGGGTATTCCCCAACTTCTGCTTCTGGATCTCCTCTGACCTGTATTGCCTCTGCTCAAAAGCCTACATGTCGACCAGTCTGTAAAAGAAAAAAAAAATTGATTTGTCACTGAATTTCTGTGCCTCAGCCTGGGAGAAATGTAAATGTTGTACTGGCCTTTAGTACTCTGCCTTCAAGCCTAGATTTAGAGCTGATCATTATACTTTTAGAGTAGGTTAGGTATGAAAATAGCAGCAGGTTGAAGAGTCAGAGGAAACTGTTTGCTCTCATCTGCTGGTTTGGTCAGGGTGGAAGTGCGAATATTAATACAGTCCACTTAAACAATAAAATAACTCCCAGGGAAGAGGAACTATAAACTTTAGTAAATATCAGAGATGTTAAATGCTAAAAATAAAGGCTCTTTGCAGTTGTTTGGCTCTTTAAAGAGAGTGTTTATTGGTCAGGAGCACTGGTCTGTTTGGCCATGTTTTGCTAGCTCGTTTTTACTTATTTTTTGCATGCATGTATGTAAATTCATTAGAATATAAATTAGTTAATTAAGTAGGACAGTGTTTCTAGAGTGTGAAATAGTAACCTGGCTAGCCAGCTTAATTAAATCCTTTGTCATTTTCTTTTTGAAACAAACGGCATCTTTGGGAGGTCACTGTGTTCTGGTTGTTGCACTTCTGAAATGTACCTGGACACTGTTCTCTCCTTTCTGTCTCCTTTTCTCCTGCCCAGCAGCTTGCACTGCTTTGCCACCCTGACTTCATTCTCTCTCCCCCAACTGTTCACTCTACCAGCACTACTAGAGAGAAGTCCCAGACTCTGCATGTTCCAACTGAAGTCTAAAAAAACCTCCAAAGGTTTCCTGTTGTCCATATGATACAGTTTTCAAAAGTCCTTAGTATGCCATTCGAGGCTCTTTATAGTCTGCCTCCAAAATACTGTTTTAAGCCTCTTTTTGTAGGCTTGCTCATTCATCCCTGTAGTCCAGCCCATAGAACTATCTACCATTTCTGATACAAACAAAATATAACCAACAGTAACCCACCCTCCATTGGTAGGGACAGTTCTAGGTGTTTGACAGGCATTATCTTATATATTAAATTCAGCATCAGAGACTTTTGTCATTTGCCCAAGATCATGCACTTTGTAAGTGTTAGAGCTGGAATATTTTGATATTCTCACTTCTGGTTCCTGCTCTTACATTTCTATCCCTTTGCTTTTACGTTTTCTATGCCTAAAATGCCCTCCTCTTTTTTTTTGTATTCTCAGACTTGGAAATTTATGTGTTAGACATTCCTAACAAGGTGCTTGGATAGGTCTTTGTGCCTATCTCAATTCAGCCTGATAACATCATTAGTACTAGTACTAATACTACCTAGTACTACTGGTAGGAGCTGACCCCAAATCTTAATTTTTCCTCATTTCCCCTGCAAATAGGTGCCTAATAGAATGAATGCATGGATGGATGGTCAGTATCAGTATCTGGCTCCTTTTGTGATTTGAGTAGTGTCCCTTGGCCAAGTTTAAGGCTTCAGAAATTGCTGTGTGGAAAGAACGCATGTCATTTCAGCCATATCAGATTGTAGCCAGGGATGGGCAACAAGCAAGGATTAAATACCACAAGTTGTTGGTCTTTTTATTTGTATCCAGGTGGAAATTCAGCTGAAGAATTTAGAATGGGCCTATTCATGGGAAGTTAACTTATTTCTTCCGAGTTGATTGTCAGATTTGTGGCTGTGTTAGTTTGCTAGTGCTGCAGTAAGAAAGTACCGGAGACTGCGTGGCTTAAACAGAATTTATTAGCTCATGTTTTGGAGGCTAGAAGTCCCAGATCAAGATGTTGTTGGGGTTGGTTTCTCCTGAGGCCAATCTCCTTGGCTTGCAGGTAGGCTGCCTTCTCTCTGTGTCCTCACATGGTCTTCTTTTCTGTGTGTGCATGCTTTGTCCACATGCCCTCTTCTTAAAAGGACACCAATTACAGATGACCCTTGAACAACACAGGGGTTAGGGGGTGCTGACCCCCGCATAGTGAAAAATCTATATATAACTTGGACTCCCTTCAAAACTTAACTACTCATAGCCTACTGTTGACTGGAAGCCTTACGGATAACACAATTGATTGACACATATTTTGTATGTTACATATATGGTGTATTCTTATGGCACAGTAAGCTAGAGAAAATAAATTGTTATCGAGAAAGTCACAGGTGCACCTGGCTGGCTCTGTCAGTAGAGCATGTGACTGTTTTATCTTGGGGTCGTGAGTGCGAGTCCTGTGTTGGGTGTGGAGCCTACTTAAAAGAAAAATTAAAAAAAAAAGTGATAAGGAAAATACATTTATGGTACTGTATTTAAGTGGACCTTCACAGTTCAAACCCGTGTTCAAGGGTCAACTGTTGTATTAAGGCCCAACCTAAAGAATTCATGTTAACTCAGTTACGTCCTTAAAGACCTTTTCTCCAAATATGGTCATGTTTGAAAGCACTAGGAGTTAGGACTCCCAACATACAAATTTTGGGGGGAACACATTTTATTTTATTTTTTTTTATTTTTATTTTTTTTTAAAGATTTTATTTATTTACTTGAGAGAGAGAGAGCACATGAGAGGGGGGAGGGTCAGAGGGAGAAGCAGACTCCCCGCTGAGTAGGGAGCCTGATGCGGGACTCGATCCTGGGACTCTAGGATCATGACCTGAGGCGAAGGCAGTCGCTTAACCAACTGAGCCACCCAGGCGCCCGGGGGAACACATTTTAGCCCATAACAGTGTATTATGGAAGGTCCTCCACTTAACCCCTCCCCTCTCTACCTTTTCCTTTTGTTTTCTTCCTTCTGGCAATTTTGTTTTACCAGAGGGCTGTCGGGAAGAGAAGTGGAGATAGAAGAAAAATACATTTATTTTGGGTGAATTTCTGGAAATAGCTGGTGGGGGGAATGGCCGAAGCCGTTGGTGAAAATGAGATTTTGATATTGCCTCTAGATGTGTATTGTCCTGATGCATTCTATTCTGGTTTCCTGGGCAGATGAAAGCTGGCTGTGTGTTGGAAGGCTGGGGAAGTGTCTATTCTTTATTAAATGAAAAGGGAAATTGATAATCCTGCAGCTTTTTCAGTCGCCTGGAAAAGTGAGAACTCCATCCTTATCTTTCTGCTCTGCCTGGTAAAGTAGCTCAGGGACTTGGTGAGCACAGTGAAGGTAGGGGGCGGGACAGGTGAGCCTTGGTCCCCTACAGTGGCTGACCCCCCTGCACCGCATCTAAGCATCTAAGCAGAAGCTAACGAAATACCTGTCCTGTTGAATTCCTGAATTTGTGTGGCTCAGCTGCGTTGTTGTTCTCCAGACCTTTTGCGAGGAGTTTCTCTTTATCCTTGTCTGTTAATTCCTATCCTTGTCTCCAGTTCTCCATTGTGGCTTATGTCTTTTCTTCCCTTTCTCTTTGTGATTATCAAGTAATTTATTAAATGGAGACAAGCTTAACTAGACATTAAATAATTGCAGGTGTGCAGCTGAATTGAGCTGCTGTCCTTTAACTAGGAACTCACAGCTGTTTGTGTTGTATTGTGTGATGAGATTACACTTTTTACCTCATTTGGTTACATGATCTCTCGCATATTGTAAGGTAGAAAAGAATGTTGACGTTTCTGCTCCAAGCAGTACACAAAGGCTGGTATGTTCCCAGGAAACCAACATAAACTGTACTGGGAGGTCAGGTCTGGATCTTTGCACTACTTCTTTCCTGGAAGTTTTTCATTTCCTTGGACTTTGTCTTGATAGGGAACACCTGAATTGCTCCTTGACTCTCGAATGGGATAAGTTATCCCATCTTAAAACTGTTTGTTTCGTTTTGTTAGTTAACTGTTAAACTAGGATTTTTCAGTTTCCACCACAGTAAGAGATCAGTGTGTTCAACAGGTGAGCTGCTTCTTTGCTTTAATGATTAGACGTCATCTGTGTGCTTCTTATACACATTTGCTCCATCGGTAAGCTTTCATAAATGTGAATTTTAGTCATGGGTTAGGTTGTAGTGCCATCAGTTTGCTTTCTTTGGTGGGTTTTATAATTTATAATGGTTGCTAGAGGTAGACACCACTTCCACAGTATCTAGCTCAACACAGAATTTAGGATAAGCTATTAAAGGGTTGCTTGAGTCAACTGTGCAATAAGCCTAATGGTTTTACTATAACCAATAGACATGAATCTACTCTGAGGACATACAGGTATAAGAAATATCATGCTGCCAGTTGCCAACTGTGGACCTTGGGCATTCTACTTAAATGCCTTAATATTTGGTTTCTTCATCTAGGTGATTGTGAGGATTAAAGAAATTTGCATTTGATATATACACGAACACAGTATTTGCATGCCTGCAATATGCCTGGCACTGTTTACTGGATGCATTTGTGAACAGAGCAGACCAAGTCCCAGCCCTGGTGGGATTAAATTCCAGATCTCGTTTTGACTGTCCACCAGAGAGAGAATCCACTTGGTGTGAGAACATGATACCTACCGTTCATGAAAAACAATTTTTTAACCAAAATATGTGTCTAATAACCCTAACTTTATTTGGTACATTTAAACACTGTATCTAGTATATGTCTGGCTTGTAGAACAAGTCTTAAAACCCTTGCCATATTTTTTCACATCATCTACAGCTGTCCGTATGTACGATCTTGTCTATTAAAAAAACTGGTTAGAGACTCCATCTAGGCTTTTAGGATTGTTGGTCTTGGGATGCTGACTGCAGAGCCTTCTTCTCTGGGTCTTTGCTCTCTAGGTTGTCTCTCAGGTTCCAGAAGGGGACCCCGAGAATGAGTTCTGAGTGACATGTTTGATCCTTTGAATCTCTTCGTGAAAGCCCAGTTTGTTCAAGTCAGGTCTGAATGGCTCAGAGAGGACAGTGATGTTTACCTGACTTAGCCCTGTCTGATACCACTGCTTTGTTAGTGTCTGTAGAAACAAAAGCAGAAAAAATATCCCTGGGCATCAGATTGATTAGCTTTCCTAAACTCTTTTTTTATGGGTGACTGAAAGAAAAAATCTTCTTGAGATTTTCTCCTCTTTTTATGGATGATTAATAGAAACAAAAAGACACTGTCTTTCAGAAGCATCGTGAAAGCATTCTGATGGTGGGATTCTGGAGTTCAGACGTGGGAGAGTGTTAGTGACCAGACACTTCCTTGGGACAGGGGTGGTGGTTGTCAGTGGATCTAGAGCAGTAGCTTCTGGAGGGGCACAGGGATTGCAGGCACCATCTTGTGCTATGCTGAATGCTGGGTCTACAGTATTTGGCATATTTAAAGCAGGGTTAGCACATAGTCTGTGTTATGAGAAATCTCTCAGATCAGAGCTATGATTCCATTATGTGGTTACAGTTTGCATCCTTTACTTCCTGTATTTTCTCTTAGGGAATAAATAATATATGATAATGAAAAAAGGCATGTTTTTGTTTTTTTTTTTTAATTTTGATTTAGGACCCTTTATATTGTGGGTATTTTTTTTGAAGGTTGTGGAATTTGGTTGCTTTATTGAGAACACTGAGAAAATCGGATCTCCGACATACAACCAGTCCCACGTTGAATTCCTTCCAATTACTGCTACAAAGACAGGAACATTTTTGTTGAAGCTGAGGGAGGGGTGTTATGTGCTTGTTTATTGGAGCCTCCAAAAGTAGCTCAGATATCCCTGATGACTCAGCTGATGCCCTTGCTGCCTGGTTGGGTGTTTGCGTATGAAAGACTTACTTCCTTGCTGCGGGTTAGGAACATGTCACAAAGCTCAATTGCTATGGAGATAATTGCAATGAACAGACTTAGCAGGATTGTGCAAGGTTGGCTAGTGGCCAGGTTTAGACTACCTTGGAAGAATTGGCCTAAAGGCAGAGAGGAAAAGTTTTACAAACCTCCTTTCTTCCTCTTTGGTGGCATTAAAGCCCGTGAAACCAGATTCAGGCTCTTGTGCCTTTTTCAAGAATAGGGTCATATACTCATGTGGACTTAAACTAGTTGGTATGAATCACAGGCAGGGGCTTTGTGTGGGTGCCATGTGTTGTGCTGTCCCAGTGGAGTTAAATTTGATATCAGAGGAAGGAGTTAGCCTAGCACAGTGTAACAATGGGTTGTTAAGGTGTTCTTCAGTACAACCAGAAATTTCCACTCCATAATGTTTTTATTGTAACTTCTCATTCTCAGTGTTGAGTAAGGCTCAGATGGCCATTCTGATAGGTTGGAGAAATTTTCACCCATGAGGGTAGTCTTAAAGATGGGGAATCAGAGTCATTCATGGTTCCTTAAAAATAAAGGTATTTTTGAAACCATCCATCCTAGTACTCATCAATGTAGATGAGATAGTTTTGTTCTCTGAGTTTGCTGCAAGCAAGTGCTGACTCCGATGGAAAGGGCAAAACCAGAGATTTTTCCTTCTATTGAATCTTTTCATTATGACGATTTTGTCCTTTAAGTAAAATAAACTCAGAACTCCAAACTTTATTAAGTGAAGAGTTTGGAGGAGTTAGAAATGAGGCAAAATGCTATCCTGTTTCTTAGAAAAACTTTACCTGGTACCTTTTGAGCTGTGTCCATTGACCAAATTTAACTCATTGTTTCAGTAGCATCACACAAAATGTCTTACTCCTTTTTCTAGTTTGCTCTCTTTAAAATTTTCTTTAAAAAAATGCCAAAACTTTCCCAAGTCAGCTAAATAAACCCAAATATGAAGTGATCTGAAATGACTTAGACAAAGCAAATGATTCTGACTTTCCCAACTGGGAGACTTGGCTTTCTTGAAGGCCATCCTTCTAAATTGTGGGAAGATCCAAAGCAAAATCGAATTAAATAAGTCCCTTAATTCCCATAAGTAATTTCTAAATTATCCTTTTATATACCTTACTTATATGCAGCTTGCAAGTGAATATCACTGTGAGAGCTACAGTTGTCAGGATTTAGATCTTAATTAGCTCATGAGAGTGCATCCTTTTGAAGCTGTATACCACAGGTTGTTGGCTAGTTTTCCAAAAGCAATTAAAATGCCCACTGTTATAATTAAGCTTGTTACTGGTTGTATGTTCTAGTTATACAGTGTATTTGGCAATTAAAGAAACTGAGATTGAGGCTTTTGGCTGGGCTCTTTGGGATGCAGCAGACTGGCTGCCACCATAATACTCTGTAAAGAGAATCAACTGGTACGGGCACCTAGATGGTAGGTCATATCTTAGGTCCTTGAGTATTTATGGTTACTGCATAAGTAAGAGCAACCATAGTTGTGTGTGTTTTTTTTTTTAATCAAAGTATAACATATACTGTTATATTTGTTTCAGGTGTGCAGTATAATGATTCAACAGTTCTATACATTACTTGGTGCTCATCACAATAACAGATTTTTATACAAAAGCTAAAGTTAGGGAGTGTGAGTTCCTGATTATGTGCTCTTGTATATACAGGAGACAAAAATCTAAACTTCCAAATTGTAGTCTTTAGCTGAAAGTCCTTTTTAAGAAGCTTTGTCTTATCTTTTAAGAAGGTAGCTTGACTCTGACAGTGAACATTTAATCTGTTACGCTAACATCTCCATTGCTCTGGTCAAACTTTTTATCTGGTTGTTGAAAGGGAGGTTTGGGGGAAATGCTTCCAGGTACAAGACGTAGTTAATGTCTCTTCCTGAACTGCAGAGCATAAAGTTGTTAAACTGCATGTCCAGCATCTCGCAGTGAGATTTGGGCTGGCTGGTGGGAGAGGCTCTGATGGTCAGGGCTGGTCTTGATGCCAGATACAGTTCTTAGTGGTTTCCTTTGCATGTTGCATGACTTTTATTCTTTCCTTTCCTTCTGTTGACCATTTTGGACCGTTTCTTTGTTCCTTAACACCAAAATGGCATGGTGGCTGAGACCATGGGACAAATGAGTCATTTAATGAACAGGTAGAACAACCTCATTTAAAGTGAGGTTGAGGTTTTCTTGTGTGTTTTATTTTGAAATACATTTAGCACAGACGAAGGAAAAGGGACCACTTACTTTTGGGATTCCATCCCATTGCCTTGATGGTTTGTACCCCCACCCCCCCATGCAATTAACATGAAAATAATGGTTTACAAATGAGCTTAGCATTTAGAGCTAGATAGGAGGAAGGCTTCCTAGCATGTTAAAATCAGAGAAGAAGAGAAAAGGGCAAGTGTTTTATAATTATTATTTGGTTTTGAGGAATAGTGGAAGGATGGAGTCTTGTTAAGTGTACTTCTTCCCAGAGTTCTTTTAAGGTTGTGATTAATGATATAAATTATTTTCTTATTGTGTGAAAAAATTAGAATTATTAGAGATACACTGTTTATTTGTGGTTCTCTGGACGTATCTTTGTTAAGCCTATAATATATTAGTATAAAATAAATTTAAAGGCTTCTAGTCTGAGGACACTTGCTTTACATCCATTTATACAAGCACTTCCTGTGTTCCCTTTGTAACAAGTTTTTCATAATTTATTTCTAGTCTTGTAAAAATAGAGGAGAAAAAAACCATTCACATTATTAGCTTGGTTCTTTACTTTGAGTTCTACAATTTTCCTCTGTACAGAACAAAATAAAACCAGTCTGGGCGCGCCTCGGTGGCTCAGTTATTCAGAGTCTGCCTTCAGCTCAAGTCATGATCCTAGGGTACTGGGATCGAGTCCCACATCGGGCTCCCTGCTCCACAGGAAGCCTGCTTCTCCCTCTCCCACTTCCCCTGCTTGTATTCGCTCTCTTGCTGTGTCTCTCTCTGTCAAATAAATAAATAAAATCTTAAAAAAAACCCCAAAAAACCAAAACAACAACAACAACAACAAAAAAACAGTCTTTGGTGAAATCCTATGACAAGATTATTGTTCTGAGGAATGACTATCTCCAAAAGGTACATTTGTATGTAATATGTGGTATGCAGTATGTGTGGTGTTTTATAGTTAAAATACAACATAATCATCATGAAATAATACACATGAAATGGGATGTGATAATGAGTCTGACTTAAAAAGAAATAAAAAATAAACGTGGAATTTCTAAGCAGTTTTACTTGTAGGTCTAATCAGTCTAATTAGTCTTACCCGTAGCTCAGATGTCAGCTTTGATAGGCTTTCCTGAATAAAGTCATATTCAGCCTCCCAATTCAGGGTAATTCCCCTCCTTTGTGCCATAGCACCCCATGCTTCCCTCATTGTGGCACTTCCTATGCTGTTTCCATGTGATTATAAACTATTAGGACATGAGCAGATACTGTGCTTTTTATTTTGCTTTCTATTTTACTTTTTCCCTCTGAATTCCTTTTTAAAAAATTG